TTACTTAAATGTTGGTGGGCTGTTGTTAATCATAATGAATTTTTTTTTTTTTTTTTTTTTTAATTTGAAAGTGTTGCCAGTCACCACAGTCTTTATATCATTTAAAACTTTTCATCTCTTGTTCGTTTTCCTGTTTGGTATGTCATTTCAATTCTGGTGTGCGCAGTGAATCCGGTGACTTACATTCCTTTGCTATTCCGGAAGGTAAATGAAGTTTCGTCAATTGACAAGTATATTATTTTGTTTGGGTTTGTTGTTTTTGTCCATCTGTCTGACAAATTCTCCACTTGACCTAACCTTTCTTGATAGTCTAGTCAACAAATGATTGGAAACATCCAGGAAGAGGATTCATAGTTCTCTGGGTTTGGTGTGCCGATATCAAAGCAGCATAATTCGTCTTATCCACTTGTCTTATGAAGCAATCACAAACTTTGGCTGTTTCAATCTTCTTGGGGGTGGGGTTGGGGGTGGGGTTGGGGGGGGGCTGTTGACCGTGTCCGCTAGACTTTCTCATTCTCTCTGCCTTTCTCCAACTCTTTTTCTCTCTCCCTGTCTGTCTTTTACTCTCTTCCTATCTTCCCTTCCTCCTTTTTCCCACTTCTCCTGTCTTTCATAAATCAGAAGTTTACATGACTTTTGTTGCACCTGTAGTGCAAATAGTGGTGCATTTTTTCCTGTTTTGTATTTACTGGGAAATGTTTCGTATGGGCTGAAGAGATTTTGACATTTTTAATAGCGGCTTCAAAATGGCCCCGTGTCTCGTCTTTGTGGATGTAATTGATTTCCTTTTCCTTTTTGAATTTTCCATCATGATGTCCGTTTTCTTGTTTTGTTGGCTCAGTCTCCGTGGATGTAATTGATTTCCTTTCCCCTCTTCAATTTTCCATCTTGATGTCTTTTTTTCTTGATTTGTTGGCTTCGTGAGTTCAAGTGAATCAAGCAGTGTTATGCCTGCTGTCTCTGTTATGTATGATCGGAGCTCATGTCTCCCTTTCAAGTCGGGTCATTTTGCTGAGACCTCTAAGTCAGACTTTTTAGGGATGGAAGCTGATTCAGATGTTAAATATTTCCAGCATGCCTAAAGGAATGTTCTACTCAAAACACAACAGAACATGTATGTCTTTTGTAGTGACTGATACTATTTACTTCACCGTGTTCTGAAACTATATGCATCACTATTGCCCAAACATCAAAAGAGAATAGTAGGGTGTAGTTCCTAAATGTTATTATGTATATTATGTCAAATCATACAGGTAAAACATGTTTCTGATTAGTGAGTTTCAGTTTAGGAAAATCAGGTGCTGGTGCAAAAATGCTTTGCAATTTAGCTACTATTTAGCTTAGACCGAGGCCATGATGAGATTTGTAAAAAAAAAACAAAAAACGTTTTGATCTACATAGTTTGATCATGTATTGGGTCTACGCAGTACTGTGCTGTTGTTTCTAAAGCTGTCTGTATAAATTCACGGAGAACAAGTAACTAAGGCTTTTTTTTTACTAGTTTGATTTAATTATTTTTCTGAGAAAGTCAAAAAAATGTTTACTCTTTCATTTCTTTATGCGCCATTGTTCCCTAAACTATCATGGCAACAACACCTGTGACAATGAATGTTCAGGCCTTTCTGTTCCAGGCCAGAAATATGATTTCATTGGCTCTTTGTTTATTCCAATTTCTTTTGGGGGGGGTTTTAAAACATACAATGAGCCCATACCGTGATTTCATGGGCATTATTTTGGCCTGCGCTTTGAGCTTGGGTTGTGACCATAGGTTGGGGAAACCAGTGTTGTATATGTTGTCAATTCCATATGCTTTGATCGTTACATTTTGCCGTGCCTATCTTCCTGCGTTCTGTACATCTGCCAAGAGGATATTGCTGGCCTGTTTTACAGATGTTGCTTTTTTAAAAATGACTGGATCATCCAAGATTTTCCTCATTTGATTTTGTCATTTTTTAAAGTTTCAAGTTGAGATTATTTTTCTACTGTTTCAGTCTTTCTGACATTTTTATCTAGTAGAGCATGTGGTATCCTTATTTCTTTTGTATGTTCTGTCAGCATTTCTTTTCTTTGTTCTTACAACCTAGTAAGTCCTCAAAATTTTGCTCTATCTCAGTGGCACTGCATGGTTTGGTTGACGAAAGTTACGCCAGCCTCAGTTTTGTTCCTCTTTCTTTCTTTCTCGCGGCTTTTTTTGCCAGGCCTCGTACACTGCCCAGCGTCATGGTTGCCAAGTGCCAAAAAACAGTTTGTGGCCAAATTGTTCATGACTTATAGCTATAGCAAGCGATGACATTGTGGGCTGCTGGTGCTGAAATTTATTGTTGACCTTTAAGCCTGATAATAACGTCATGTGACATTCAAAGCGTGTTTTATAAAAAATTGGATTTGTCAGAAAAACCCAGTTTAAAGATCCTGTCTTCAGGAGCCTGAACATATTGGAGATCTATGTTGCTAATGCTCATTAGTTAGTAACTTAAAATGTCTAAACAAAAGCCCTTCTAGAGTTTCCAAACAAGTTGTGTGTCATTACTTTACAGACTAAGGTATTAAAAAAAAATTACTCAGTCTTCAAAGACATGACAGAATAGCTGATTCAATATGTTGTTTTTCTTGATGTACTTTAAAGTGTAACTTTTTGATTATTGTCAAAGTAAAATATATGGATGGACGGTTGAGCTGTGGGG